GGTTCGAGGTTGAGGGCTAATTTACTATTTTTGGAAAAGATTCATCAATGCTAAATGCGTAGGTAGATGTCCTTCCTAAAGAGTTTATGGATGTTGTGATCTTGTAGGGATTTTGAGATGGTTTGTGTATGTAATGGGTGAATGAGATAGGTTCAGTGTATAAATTCACGGTATTCTACCTGCGTGCAATGAGATATTATGATTTGAATTGTGGTATTGTCAAATGATTATACTCTGCTATGAAATTTACAGTTTTCGTACCGTAAACTTGAGATCGTTATTAAATGTCATTATTTTATTTCAAAGTTATGTATTTACTTTACAAACTGAGAATTAATTGTTTTATGTTTTCAAAATCTTGTTTTAGTTTGAAAAGGCTTTTCTATTTGGCTTTTTGCTCATCCTACGATATAACATTTTTCAGATATGGACTTGAAGAGGATATCACATTAGATGAGCATGTTGATTTTGAGGCAGAACTAGATCAGGATGTGAATTCAGATTTGGATACTCAAAGTTAATTCTGCCTTGTTTAGTTTTTATGAGATCAGATTATTAAACAATGTAATGAATATTTCCTTATTTATTTAGTTGCAAGATATTATTTCAGTTTTAGGATGTAAGTTTGAGAAGTTAATAATATTTTATTGAGATTGGTTTATCTATTTATTTAGTTGATGGATTGGTTTTTATGATTTAATAATTATTTTAGATGCTCTCATGATTAGATGTTATACATATAGTTTAAAGTTTCCAATGTTGTTTTTGGAGGCATTACAGGGTTCAACATTCTTCTTGGTTAATTGTTTAGTTTGAACAACAAATATGTCATTAGTACAATAGAACAACCTTGGTATGGTCATCGAGGTGGTCCATACAAGTTTTGTTAATTATTATTGTTTTCCATTAGAATTTTCAATTATTTCTTTTGTTTCTTTTTATTTGGAACTAATTCTACTACTTGACATATTTAATAGATATTTAAGACAAAATTATCAAAAGGGGACCATTTGACATAAATATCCCAACACACGGAGTTGACAACGGTATTAAAAAAAAATAATAGCAAAAAAAATTAATATTGTAAAAATATTCACAAATATAATAAAAATACTTATAAAAGTAGTAAATTTTTTTGTACCAAATAAAAGTGGTAAAAATAGTTATCACAAATATAGTAAAAAAACCCACAACAACTGTAAAAATACATACAAAAATGATAAATCATCCATAATAATAATAATTTTTAATAATAAAATGGTCAATAAAAATTATAAAAATAATAAAAAGTAAAGGTAGGTTACCGAAAAATATCTATAAAAGTTCATTTATCTCCGATCCACTTTACTAACGGGTTAGTTTTAAGGGAAAATTGGAAGAAGGTACACTCAATTAGACTTAATTGTAAAAAAATACATAAAAAAAAATATTGGGTGATTAATTCCTTAATTTTGATACTTATTTGTATCTAAGTACATTATTTGAATTTTACTAATTTTTTTATGACATTTTTACCCTCCATTAATCCATGTGTGTTTAATGCATCACTTTTCTTTGAAAAGTGGTGCATTAAACATCTCATAATTTTATGGTAGAACTTTAATATATATTTATATATATATATATATAAATACGTATATATATACTTGTTTGAATTTCAAATTTTGTATTCATGTATATAAATATATATATATATATATATATATATATATATATATATATATATATATATATATATATACAAATTATAGTTTAATGTACATTAATTAATGCGTTATATATATATATACACACACACTTATATAAATACTTATGTATGTATGTATGTATGTATATACTTGTTGTTAAATCACTTATATAAATACTTTTGGTTCACTATTTGATTTTTTTTATACTCCTATTATATTACTAATACTATTTAAACTAGCACTAATATTACTTAAATTATTATCTAATTTTTTTATCGATGTCTAAAACATGATTTTAATTTTTTTTTTAATTTGAAGCTACACATTCAATACGTTAATTAATATTATTTACTATAGTAGACTATTGATGGTATCCAAGACTTCTTATTATGTTGAAGTTCCATGTGCTTAAAATCAAGCTCAAAGGCCTTGCACAATATTCAATGTCGCAGTGCATGAGCAGCTCACTTAATTGTCCAATGAAAATGAAGCCGCCATTACTTTGTCGAATTGAATCACCACCTTTGGCAGCCAATTCATAAAATCCTATTTTGCTGTCAAACATGAACATGCATAGCTTGCATTTGGAGAAGTCACCTGTTTGCATGGGCGGAGCTACACACCGAGGGTGGGCACTCCTCAATTTTTTTTAAAAAAAAATATTATATGTATATTTATATTTATATATTTTAAAAATTATACATATATTTTTTTTTGTCTGTCCTATGATTTTCTTATTTCAAGTGTTTATTCTTTTTATTATATTAAGGGTTTTCCAGATGACCTTAATATTATTATTTATAAATTTTTATAAGTGAAAGTTTTTGTAATAGACCTTCATTTGACTTTTATTTTTTTTACAAGAAATATTCCCTATTTTTATTCGAGTATTGATTATAATTTTTATTATTTAATTTTAAATTTGTTTACTATATTTAACTCTTAAATTTTAGTTTAGTAATTTTATTATGTTAATATCTCAATGATAATGTTTGAAATATCGTTTATTGAATAAATTTAATAGATTATTAGTGAATAATTGATATTTTTTAATTATAAAAATGACAATTAGCTCTATTTTTTTACCGTGATAAAAATTAGTCATTTTTATTTTTTACATATACAATATACATTATTTTTTGACCTTGTTTACATTAAATAGACTTTATATATCAAATATGATAAAATAAATATATTATATAGTGTGTTTGACTAGAAAGAAAAAAAATTAAAATATAAAATTAAAATGCCTATTCTAAACAAAATTCCTGGCTCCGCCTTCACTGTTTGATTGCTTGAAGATGACGTCTTGGCCAAACATTCAATGCATTCTTATTGAAAAAGAAATCAACTGCCTTATTAGAAATTTGAGTCACCGCCAACAGGAAGAACCAATCCATCCCCATGGCAGATTTATTCTAAGTTAGATTAGAAGCTTACTGCTCTAGTCAAAGGCAAAAATTTCACCAACTACACTGCAAATGAGCCACAACCTATGAAAACATGTGGTAGAAAAAAAAAATCATTCCAAAAGTTTTTTAACTGTAGAAAAATATCAATTTTTCTACACGATCTTTAATTCTAGATAATTCAACTATACACTCCCTACTCTCAAAACAATTCTATCAATCTACACCTATCTCTCTCTTCTCTTTCCTCTACTTATCTCTTGCTACTTAAAATATAAATATTGCATGACTAATACTAGTTTTTTTGTATTACAGTGTCTTCAAACACGGAATTATTGCTATTTTTTATATAATAAATATAGACATAAATACTGCACTACTAAGGTAAGTTTTTTGGTATTACATAGTGTTTTTAGACACAAAAATTATTTATATCTTTCTATATAATAAATAAACAACAATACTACATCCACTAAATTATTTACCAACTTTTGAATGCCAAATCAATATACACCGTAGGATCAGTAGGTTCCACAAATTCTCACTAACCATCCATCCAATGGCTATTAGTGAGACACATCATTTGGAATTCAAAAATTTTGTAAAAATTTTGGGGAACACATCATTTTCCATAAATACATTTGCTATTTGATCATGTTTATTTCCGCATGATTCTCCTAACACAAGAAGTCCATAGATCAAGGTTTATCGGAGATAAATGGTTAATGTTTTATGATCCTTTTAAGAAAACCAAGATACTTTTTTTTGGGTTTTTCTTCGCTTCTTTATTGGTACGTTTTGTTCGGTTATAAATGATTGAGCAATACTATTAGGATCTAATTTATTGACATAATTTATTGACTTAATTGACTGTGATCTTTGAATTTACTGTAGACTCAATCAAACATTAGAACTTGACGTTAATCTAATAATTCTTATGAAGTCATATCATTATATTAACAAATTAGATCAAATTTTTAAGTTCAAATATATTATTTTAAATAATTTAGTTGTTATTATAATAATAATTAATTGTTTATTGTAATCGTGAAACACCGATTCTCGTCATAGATAAATACATCTCCATCTTCCTACCATGGCAGACAGTCCACAATTGGAGTCAAATTCAATGGAATAGATGACAATCCCAATGGAACTGTGTACAACCAAATAAACTTAAAAACGGTTTTCTTTAAGTGGCCCTCCCTCCTTCCCTTAATTTCTGCTGTTATCTTCTCTTTTTTTTTTTTTTTTTAAACTCGAAAAAAGGTCCAACGGTCACTCTTCTTTAATTAATGCCGATGTGACATAAAGCACTCCACCCCAAACTACCATTCAAACAAGTTAGAGATGTAAGCAAAGAATCTCTAGTTATATATTATAGGGTAAAAATAATTCATCCCTCAACTTTATTTTTAATTTTAATTTAGTTTTTGAATTTTTAATTATTTTAATTTAATCTTTTAATTCTTATTTTATTTTAATTAAGTCTGTCTATTCATGCCCATCGTTAAATTAACTAGAGATTTAGTTTAATCTATTCATTTCATTTAACGATAAAAATAGATAAAATTAATAGTTGATAAAATAAATTGAGACATTTGAAAGTTTAGATGTTAAATTAAAACTAGTGACAAAATTCAAGGGCTAAGTATAATTTTTACTGTATATGATCGGCGACCACCTTAACCAAAATTGACATCTACACTTTCTATGCGTCTCCTAGCTCTGCAGGTGCAAACATCAGCCACACTCAAATTTCGGCCAAAATTCATCACCTAGCAATTTGTTTCATGTGTCAAGGTCTCTGTTCTTCGGATTTACCGGAGTTATCTTTCATCACCATTGACTTTCAAACAACCCTGTCTCTCAAATTTTTTTGACTCAGTGGTTTCTTTTCTGGATGAGTCGGTTCCGGGTTGTACAAAATTTGTTCAATTTCAACCCTACTCATTATCATCTAATAGGTAAATTGACATCTATGTATAAATGGTATGGTATTTAATAAAAGTTAAAAATTCTTTGTTTATAAACCGAATTCTATGGCAGTTTCGGGCCGGTTGTTAAAAATTATCAAGCCTCAATTCCAGAGGACCACACCAAGCATCCCATCCACCAGTATAAATCATTGTCATAACTTTTTATGCGCCTGAGAATCTACTTCGATCCATTCCGAGTGAGATTGAATGAGAAGGTCTCGGCGTTATAGCATCTCCAGGTCCTTTAAGTTCAATTCCTGATTAGTTTACAAGTCACCATAAACTTCGATAGTTTACATAGCACTCACGAGCCCATTCTCAAAAAAAAAAAATATCTAATGTGAGAAATTTAACGGCAGCCTATACCCTCGAAGTCGAAACCAATGAAGAAAAATCTGAGCTGTTGATCCCAGAATTACCCGATGAGATCACTGAACTGTGTTTGTATCGTATTCCGTACCCGTACCAATCCCAAGTTTGTTCAGTGTCTTCTTCATGGAACAAAGCCATTTCTCACCCTTCATTTCTCTATACCAAGAATCAATTGTCGCTTTCTCTACCTTACTTGTTTGTTTTTGCTTTCCACAAATCAACGGCTGAGGTTCAATGGCAAGCGATGGACGTTAAATCGGGCCGTTGGTTTGTACTACCTCCAATGCCATGCCCCAAGGCTGTGTGCCCACCTAGCTTTGTGTGCGCCTCAATCCCACATGAAGGGAAGCTATATGTCATGGGTGGTATGCGATCAGACACAGGGTATACCATGGGGACCATGATCACGTACTGTACATCGACAAATCAATGGTTGGTACCCTCTCCGATGCGGACCCCACGAGCATTTTTTAGCGTAGGTAATATCAATGGTAAGATCATTGTCGTTGGAGGGAATGAGATTGACCTCGACGTTGAATTGTATGACCCTGAACATGACAAGTGGGTGGAGGGTGCTAAAATGCACTCTAAGTTAGCCAAATATGACGCGGTGGTTGTGGGGAGAAAGTTGTACATTACCAAGGGGTGGACATGGCCGTTCGTGTTTTCGCCACGAGGTGGGTCTACGATTTGGAAGAGGACACATGGCAAGAGATGAGTGATGGGATGCGAGAGGGTTGGACCGGAATGGGCATGGTGATGGGTGATAGGTGATAGGATATTTGTGATATCTAAGCATGGTGACTGCAGGATGAAGGTGTACCATCCTGATGAGGACACATGGGAATTCGTCGGTGGAGAAAGGTTCCCGTGTGATGCACTCATGAGGCCGTTTGCTGTGAGTGCAGTGGAGGGAAGGATATATGTGGTGTCTAGTGGATTGAATGTGGCAATTGGAAGGGTGTTTGAAGAGCAAATGGGGAAGTTTTGGGTGGATTGGGAGGTTGTGGAAGCTCCAGAAGCTTTTCATGAATTTTCACCCTCTAACTGTCTACTTCTTTATGCCTGAATTCACCCTCTAACTAAGTTTTTACTCGGACTAGTTATGGTATTAGAATTTTTTACCAGATTTCTTGACCATGCATGATACCCCAATCTCATCCATACAAATCAGTCATTGCTACATTAAGAACTTGAACACAACATTTTGTGTAGGGCTTGTTAAGAGCTCTATTCACACATCACTTCCGATATAAAAGCTCAGCCAATTGCTGGCACAATGAGGCTGATGAATCAAATGTTCATTGTACCACAGCTGATGTGTTCTTTTCAAATTCTTTTTTACCATATGGAATGGAATTTCATGAGAGAGAGAGAGAGAGAATTAGAAATGCATTACATTGAAACAATGAATGGTCCGCAATGTACTATATATATCACGATAATGTATAAACTTTGATGGTAGCTTTCAAACATTGGACATAGGATGAGGGTGGGAGCCCCCAATTGCGGTATTTGACTCTGGTATATGCAATTATGCATTCTTTGTTGAGGTCGAGTCTACAGAGACAAGGCAAACTATTCAGTACCTGATCTGATTGATCTAAGGAAGATAAGATCAAGTGTCAACCTTAGCTGCAAAACAACAGGCACATACATAAATATAAAAGCAAAAGCCAAAAAGAAAAGAACAAGAGAATATATCATGCTTCAGAGAACCACTACATCATATAGGCGAATAAACAGAGACTTGGTCCTTAATATAAACCTAATTTTCTACCCAAAAAATTCCCACCGTGGCTGCGTAATAATAGAGGAGTTGGCTATGAGCTACAACTCAGTTTCAGGACACAGTTCTTCCAAGTATATTGGGAGTTGGTTTGTCAGTATGTCAAGTGCCAGGACATTAAGTTGTCTCCTGTCAAAGAAAACTATTCCTGCCCCTTTATTATTCGGGTTACAACACCAAGAGCAACAGTTCTTCCTGATGATCTAAGGAAAACCCTCCCAAGAGCTCTACAAGTAGAATACTCTTCCACACAAACCGCTTCATGAAGAGCCACCTGAAAAAAAATGAAGACGTATCATCCTCAGTCCTATGGAACTTCAACTGTCATTTAAACCAAGTCTCAACTACCACAATCTGGTTTGCCAATCTGAAAAATTTAAACGAGGACATCATGATCACTATAATCATTCCAACAAACCTCCACTACTGCACTCTGCTTTGCCATCAGAAATCGTGGTGCCTTCTTTGTCACCTTTCCAGTCTTTGGATCGAGCAATGACAATATCTTTACTACCCTGGCAGCCTCCTTTGCATGGTGTATGTGAAATTCCAACTGCTCGTTTTCACACGAGATTTCATTCATGTGTTCACAAAACTTGTGTATGTGTGTAAAGGTACATATCTGTGTATATATATATATATATATGCGCGCACACACACACAACACACACAATAAATAAAGCTATATCTCATCTACAAGAAATGGTACCTGAGAGCCAACAAGAATTGGGGTCGTAATATCCAAAACCAGAATCTTCACTTCCAAATGGTTTGCAACTGCAACTGGAAAATCAGGGTGACACAACACACCACCGGCCATCACATGACTCCCATCGATGCCTTGTAGACTGACACCCACATTGTCACCAGCTCTTGCAATACTACAAACCTGAGAGTCACGCTCCACGGAACGCACTGTCCCTATGCCTCTAGATGGCATAACTAGAACCTGCAACCAACAGGCATAAATCACTGCCGTTATGTCAGCAACCAGATTGGCTTGGCAGTTATACTACTACAGTAGTTCCAAATCTACCTTTTTTTTTAAAATCTACCTCAACTCAGCAATCCATCGCCCAATGTCTCACCTTTCAATGAGCCAATAAGGTATAATAATCACAGAATCAGGCACACTACTAGTTCAAGAGCAATAATTGTGCGTGCCCGCCTGCCCCCGGGGGTGGGGGTGTTGATGGAAAAATACATCTAGATAAATTTAGTAGCATCTTCATATGGAATTTTCTGAAATGATCAACCGAAAAAATTGCAAGTACATGATGGAAAAATCTGCTCCCTGCCTTGAGAACATTGATGCACTCGAACCAAAAATGATGTAGAAGCATGATCCTTTAAAGAGAATGTTTACACTACCTATAAAATTTACTTTATAGTGGTCGACATCCTCAAGAAAAGGGACAAGTTACTTCATACTCATAGTCTTTACATCTAAGTTTAGAAAATTAGAGCAGGAGGAGGTTTAGGATAGATAACTCTCTCCTAGCCCCACCTTTATGGAGAAAATCTCCTACCCAAACTGCCGTCTACGTAGTCATCAGAGCACTAAATATAAATAAAGCATGCAGAAGCATGCGCACACACCGGGGGATAGCAGAAGCAAAAGCATGGGGGTCCTTTAGAAGCGGCTTCCGTCAAACACTAAATTTGAGGCAGTGGTTCTTCCATTTATAGATTAAATTAAAAAGCAAAACAAAGATGAGAATTCATTGTATGAGACTGTTTCTAGACATTGCTTCATCAACACAGTACCACCTATTACTCTCACATTGTTTTGATTAACAGAGAACTAAAAGTTAGTAAGCCAAATGAAACAGCTCACATGGACCGGTGACACTAATTAAAGACGATCCACTTCCTTAACTAAAGCTTTTGCAACAGCCATCCACCTTCCCTTTGTTTACATCCAAGATAATGCAAAGCACATCCCATTCCACAAACCAGCGCAGTGTCCAGCCATTCCATTACCATTTCTGTCCGAGCACAATATAACAGAGTTGTGGCAGACCAGTTTTCCTTACCCATCTATCTCACTGCCAACTCCGCTTAACAATCTTATTACAGACATGGCCATGAAACCCTACCCCCCTCCCAAAAATAAAAAAAAATCTCCCCCGCCCGCGCGTGCGGGGGAGGAAGGGGGGTGGGGGGTGGTGTTATACGATGTGCAGACTTGGCGAAACACTAGAAAAATTAAGGTGTAATATTTGCAAGGATCAAAATATCGTTTCGAAACGGTCGAAACGTCCAAAACGTTTCCGTTTCTAAGGAGACCGAAACGAAACAATGATGAAATCGAAATTCTAATATTTCGAGGTATTCCATAATATTTTTAAATGTATTATAATATTTCAATACATTTGCACAATTGTTTTAGAATGTTTTAAAATATTTCAAGATACTTTAATATATTTTCATCAATGTTTTAAAAAATAATTATTAAATTTTTTATTTTTTTTATTATGTTTTCGAAACGGGTTGAAACGTTTCTATTTTTTAATTGACCGAAACAATACACCGAAACGATATTTTGATCCTTAAATATTTGACAAAAAAAATTTATATTTTCCTCTGATGCAATAAAGAAATTTTCCAAAAAAAAACCAACAGGAAGATTCGTATTCAAACTTGAACAACTGAAATCCGCTACTCAATACATACCTTAGAGCCACTTCTAAGAGCTCCAGCCTCCAATTTTCCACATGCGGACACCTGCCCTTGTGTTTGGGATTTGATGACATCGCAAATGGGCATCAGTAGGGGCCTTGAGTAATCTCTTGCAGGATTTTGGAGAGAATCAATTGCATCCAGTAGACAAGGTCCCTGACACCTGCAATTCAATCATCTTAGTAAGTTCTCTATAAGCCATGGACCATTCAAAAGCTCAACATTCACATTCTCATAAGTGTGCTATGCAACATCATTCTCTGTCCTTCCTAATTCCACCATGACCTGAAAGCATACTTACAATACATTGAAAAGGAAAACATTGGAAGGGTCATTTATTTTGTGTGTATGATGTCAAATGTTAGGCTTTTAAATCTCTCTTAGCACCTTCGTTTAATAGGAATCTAGCTGGGTAATAGCTTTTTCTAATGATGATGTCAGTTTAGAAAGTCAGGGAAGAGAGAATTACACAAATGCCAAGTCTATTTAAACAAGAAAGTAATAAGAAAAGAAAAAAAAACAAGGGACATAAAAATAATAAAATACAGCAACAAAAGCAGTACAATTAAGAGTTTTCAAAAAAAAAAAAAATTCAGTTCTCTTTCTTAAGTTTGAGGTTTTAAGTTTTAAAAGGCTTGCCTGACTTTTCACACAAAATGAACTGTTAGGTAAAACAGCAACTATCTTGCTTCATTCACAATCCCATTAGAAGATTTAACACACATCACCAAATTCAACAAGAAACTGTCCACATAAGTAACAAATCCAATAAACAGCTGAGAAGATTGCAACCCCACCAGAGCAAGTTCAATAAGGACGATGATATTTAGAAGTAGCTGATCCACAGAAATTGTGTCAGAAAGATGCATGACATTGCAATTTTAATTTCTCTGGGATATGCGAGATTGTTTTGTCCTTTTATTAAGTAATATAATTTCAGTCGCTCAGAAAGAAAGAAACAGAAGAATAAGTTGCCTACTTTAACTACCCAAGTAAATGGCCCAAGAAGAATTGCTATAATTTAAACCAGTCACAACTGTCAAATACGCTAACAGAACACTGTCAATTTTTAATTTGGTTTAATGAAAAATTTTCAGACTATAGGCAAAGGTCTTTTGACTTGAGCATTAGGGTTTATCTCTAAAGCGCCTCTCTTTGTTCTACATTAATTAATTTGGATCTCTTTGCATTTATTATCCTCATTGTCACAGCTACAAATTGTTGCAACCAAACCCAAGTATAGCTGAAAATTGCTAATCCAAAGTTTAAACTGACTTGGCAAAGCCCTGCTTCAGCAAAACTATTCTCTTTTTTATTTTTGTATGACTTAAGCACAACCCTAACTTTAACACCATATGTACCTTGTTCAACCCAGATGACCCCCAATCAGGGTGTGCAATGACCACAAACATGGTGGGTCGTCAATCTAGATCGTTTAAATTTCCAACCCCAATTTGTAACCCTATATCCAAATTAATTCCCTTTGGAACTGGTGTCACATATATACATATTAACTAAGTGTGTATGAATGTATAATCATATATAATTTCATAATTGGACAACAATCATAGATGCAGCATAAGTATTGATTGACTTCGTGCATATAGAAGTATTATGTATATTATATATACTTTTGTATATTATTAAACGCTATTTAGATAAGAGTTCCAAAACGAATGATGATCCAAAACAGCATACCAGATAACTCTATCCCATTGTACTATATACCCAAACAACTATCGTACCGCATACCTGTACAAAGTACAAAATCGACCCACGGTTCAGGTAATATTAGTTAGGGTAGTCAAACTCGATCAAAGAAAGCTCAAACAATAAAAAATATTAATCTCAGCTCAAGTTGATTGCACTTTTAGTTACACATAATGTTCAGAATGTTTCTGGCTACTAAAGCTACTCTAGAAATATGTTCTACTTCTAGCTATGTGAGTGAGTGTTCAATGATCCAACATTGCCTTCTCTTTACGCTTCCAATTCATATAGAAATTAAGTTCTAGGGAGAAAAAAAAAAGGAAAAAATAAACTGAGAAGATCCTACACATCTTAAAATCTTGGAGACTTGAAGTGAAAAAGGCCAACAAACTAACCAGGAAAATAATCGTACATCTGAAGGAGCAGCCACCAAATTTTGGTTTTCCATGGCACTCAAGGGAATCCATGACACAGAAGAATCCTTGAAGCCACAAGTGCGAAGAAAGGTTCCAAGTTGCAGCTTTATCATATCGAAACGTTCCTTAGCATATTTCACAACATCCATTTTGTTAATCGCAACTACAATTTGATCAACACCAAAACTTCTAATAAGTTGTGCATGCTCCCTTGTTTGCCCTCCAGTAGCATCCATACCTGTTTCGAATGAACCAATTGAAGCATCTATAACAAGAATTGCCGCATCTGCCTGAGTTGCACCAGATATCATGTTTGGCACAAAATCTTTATGACCCGGGGAATCAAGCAGAACAACATGATATTTTTTTGTATTGAAATAAGCAACAGCCACCGTCATTGTTATCCCCCTTTCCCTTTCTTCAGCGCTCTCATCCAATGCCCACGCATAAGCAAAGGACCCCTTCCCCTAATTTAATAACAAACAGCTTGTAAATCCAGTAAACCACAATTTAACCGCTTGAAAAGCATTCAATAAAAGAATATTAGCAAGATTACTAGTAATTTAGCCTCTTTTTCATATTTGTGAATTTCTTTTTGGGATATTCGCCCCAAAAGGTGTAGCAGCCTTCCAGAGAGTGTTGACTTCCCAGAATCAACATGACCAACCTAAGAATTCAATTAAAAAAAAATGTTACTAAAATGATGAAAAAGAAAAGAAATATTTGAATATGAATCAACAAACAACTTAATTTCACAAATTGAGTGACAGACATTTGGTTGTTAACTTACAATGGCGAGATTAAGTTGATTCAATCTATTTTCTACTTGGTCAGGTAGCATCCACTTCTCAGGTCTATACTGTGATTTTGATATAGTTCTTCCCTCGCTGACATTCTTTGAGCTTCCAGATTTGGTAGATAAAGACATACTATTCATACTACTAGAAAGACCTTGTTGCTTGGCCCCACTCACCGATAAAGAATCACTCTTCTCCTCATCATTATGTCTTCCTTTTGACAAAGATAGTGAAGAGCTATCAGACCTTTCAGCGCTTGACTCTAGTTCACTATTCTTCACCTTTACTTGAGATTGAACATCAGAAGATGATAACTTGTCAAGATTAGCTGTGCATGTAAAAAGCCATATTATGATAGAAGAAAATCAAGGTCCAACTAAAAAATGAAAGGAATCCAGTATATCTCGCTTGCTATCTCCATTAAAAAAATGAAATAAACTAATAAAAATTAATAAATAATAAAGTAAAAAAAAAATTTAACTAAAATGCTCACAAAACAATTGCTAATTTTAACCATCGAAAGAACATGGTAGAAAACCCGGTAAGACTTCAAAAACCAGAATTGACGAAAATCGACAAAGGGTGACGATTGATCTTCTACTAGTTCCATGTGAAAACGAGAGAGAGAGAGAGAGAGAGGAAATTTTGGATATTCCAATGAGCAATGGCCTGTGTGATCCTAATTTCTTAATGTTGTACAGGGTACAAATCTAGATTGCAATAAAGCGAAAACTACATACTGATCTACTGAGTCATCACCTCTTTTTCTTGTATCAGTATTTTAGTAAGGGATTTTTTTAATACTAAATTCTTTTTATCCAAAAGCATCTAGGAGACATGGGAAGGTCATACAAGGTCAATATGCTGATCATGATTTAATTCATGATATGTCCTCCTCATTACATGCTATTAGTAATAAGTATTCGTCTTTGTCTTCTTTTTTTTTTGACAAGGTCAGCTAAAGGATAATGTCTTTGTTGTATGTTCATTCAGATGGAGTCATTGTTGTTTATGTGAATCACTCAAGTCAGGGCACTGACGTCTTTTTACCAATCAAGACAAATTGATCTCGAACCTCTATAAATATAAATAGCATCATTTCAGATCTTTACCGCAGCTACTGTTCTTATCTCTATTGGATCAGAGATTCTAAGATTTATAGGCCTAGTTTAAGCTTACACCCAAGAAGCAAATCTCTCCGGTTCTCATTTTAAAACTGAGTTTTTTTATAAAAAATAAATTTATTATTGAGGAGAATTGAGAACCAATTTCCAATAAGGACAAGATATCCTCAAAGGCAGAGCAACCTAGAACGAAAGACATAAAGAAAGACAGAAACAAAAGACTAAAGGAAAGCTGCCTTCCAACTCTGTTGAAGCTCGACAAAAGATTCCCACTCAAATTTCCCATGGCTTTGGTCCAAAAAGAAGCCACAATACAATTTTGTTCTACTAATTCTAAAGGAGGATAGCGGTCATTGAAAATTCTTACATCCCCTTCAACTCTGTATACACCAAAGAACTGCCATTGACATAAAATTTGTAAGAACTTAATCTGCAACTACTCCAATATGGAAAGACAAATCCAAGCCTCAGTAATCACATAGAATAAGTTATTCCAGTATCCCATGCTAAAGAACAATGAATGGATGTGCAAGTAATCTCAATAAATAGTCGATATTTACTCAATCAAGGATATCAAATCAAACAGAAGCCTTAACTTTTGACAGAATTTTGGCTTTCCAAATGAATTTTTCTAAAGAAAAGGACTGAACATTCTAGGAACTTACAAGACGAGTACCAAAATCTATGAGAGAAAGTTGCCTAAGCTATCCACAGTCCAAAGCCTACGATCATGAGAAGAACAAAGATGAAAATTATATAGTATCAAGAAAGAAGACAAATATACTACTTCTCTATTATTGAGGCACCTAAGGAAATGGAAACCCAAGGAAGGGTCCTCCCCAAGTCCCCATAACAGAAAACCTAAAAGAGAAGCCTCTTAGGGGGAGTAAAGGCGATCAAGACGTGAAAAAACAGTATTAACAGATGAATGTCCAACACAAATATCCTCTGAAATTATAATTTTAAACCCATCTCTCACCATAGAACAAGTCAAAGGAAGAAATCATGATATGCCTGTGGAATGAATTTCAACAACCTATATGTGAGAGTCTATGACTTGGTTTAGTATCCCACCCATTTTTCTAAAGACTACACATACTCCAAACTATTCTATGCCAGCCAGCAGGAATTGGAGTCTAATAGAAATCATCATAATCCTTTACCCAAAAGGAAAATATTATGCCAAACTATCAAGTCCAAAACTCTCCTCATCTATAGGCCTGCACACATCTCCCAACTCACTAGATCGTCTCACCTATCACCTCCCATCCTTAACCAAAGAAAATCTATCATCGTTGTTTGTTAGAACCTCCAACCCAAAACCAACTGGTAATAGGCAGAATATACTATAAAACATATAAATCAATCTTGGATTCATTTAATTTTTTGATGTGGGATAGTTCTCTTAACACCCTCCCTCATGTGCAACTCGAACTCGTAGGCTAACTACTGAAACTGTAACCGTAAGATTGAGGAATTCAACTGAGTGAAAACTTAATCCACTAACTATCCAAAGCCCAACTCAGTTATTATTTTAGAACATCCACCCTAAAATCAACTACTAATGAGGTGGAGTAGCCCCTCAAGTAAATAAATCAACCTTTGGTCTACTTACTTTTTTTATGTGGGATAGCTCTCTTCAAAATTTCCTCTAACATTCTAGTACTAGCTACAAAAATTCTAATAGAGACAACTAGTAAAACAAAATACTAGATAAACAAGCTTTTATCTAAGTAATTCATCCCCTGAATTCGTCTTGTTCACAAACCATACAATCTTGAGTCGACCCTTTCAAAAATCGAGTTCCAAAAAGATATGATCTTGAATTACCAAGGGGAAATCTAGATGAGACATAGGCCACTCATGAATAGTGCATCTCGCAACTAAAGCAAAGTCTGCAGCAACCCTCCCTCTAAATTAATGTTTGGCCCTCCATATTTTGCCGTATTTACTTTTAGTCTAAAAGTTTTCCAAACATCTTAACCAATTGTCGCACATCCTAAAACCCCCCATTCTTTTTCTTTTTCAGCTGCACTCCGATAGGTTAAAGGCTTAAAGTAATAAAAGAAATATTAGGGTCAAAGAAAACGAGAGAAGATAGAAGAAAGAGACCGGGAGAAAAATCAGTGGTATAAGTTATGTTACCCAATAGTCTCTTATTTATAGTAAACTGGTATTATGGAAATTATAATCAAGGTTCAAGGTATTGGTCGAGTCCGATACGACTCGGCCACCCCTGATACGATAACGATATACGATACACAAAAAGCCCAAGTTTGTCCAGTATTAGCGATAACTCGGCCATGACTCAAACATATCAGCTCAATTCGGTACAACGTGGACGATTCACATCAAATTGGTCCGATACGTCAAAATTTTTGTAAAGTTTCCAAAACTCTCGGACTAACGGCAAAAATCCAATGAAAAAAAAAGAAAGGGTGAAGAATGCCAAGACTCATGTATACAGAAACACATGAAAATCTTAGATTTTTAAACCATAGATAGCAGAAATTACAACAAATTCACCTCTCCGTTGCAACTATATAAACCCAAGAAGGATTGTAAAGATTCGAAAGACATACTTGTGAATCCAATAGATAGAAACCCA